TTTCTTGGACAGCATGAAATTAGCTTTGTGGTTTATGGTTTTTGTTTCATGGAAAATATATTGAAGGAAATATGTATTTTAAAATCCAGAAGCCTGTAGATTTCATCTGTGTAGAAGGTAGAAGAGGGTCTCACACAAGAAAATAGTATGTGGGACCATTGACATAGAGGTTGTTTGGAAATGGAGCCTGGCTTCTCATTGTTTTCTAATGGTAGGCAAAGCAGAGTGGGCCCACATCCATCTACTGTTGAAGTTGGGGACAGTCCCATTAGCCCAGCCTCCTTTTGAATTGCAGTCTGCTCTTGTTTGGATCTTTCCACAAAGAGTTTGTCCTAATATAAGGGAAGCATTCCTATGGAGACTACATTAGAGCAACTAGAGTATTCTTTGGCACTGCTGTCCTTGTTTACCGTATTTCTTGCCAGTTCTTTTGGTTCCATCTACACTTTCTTTTCTTTGTGTTAGGTCTCAGGCTTTGCCATTGAGTCTACCAAATTGAGGAGAAAATGTTATTTTGTGTTGGTTCTTTGCCGTTAAGCATCGTCTTACGGGGTTTTGTTTCATTTTGGTGAATTTAAGTGTCTTCTGTATACTAAAGGTAAAAGATACATTTTTTTAAAAATGGTCTCTGATCTTAAGGTCAGTGTATTATAAAGATAATTGTGTAAATATCACCTTTTGGGGCGCCTAGGTGGCTCAGGTCATGATCCCAGGGTCCTGGGATCGAGCCCTGCATTGGGCTCCCTGCTCAGCGGAGAGCCTGCTTCTTCCTTTCCCTCTGCCGGCTGCTCCCCCTGCTTGTGCTCTCTCTCTATCTCTCTGTCAAATAAATAAATAAAATTAAAAAAAAAAAACATCACCTTTCAGTGAGGTAGAGGTACAGGATGCTATGGGGGTATGAAGGAGTGGTGAACCAGCTCAGCCTTTTCAGATGATGTGTTTGAGCTGAGTCTTAAAGGGTTAATGTTTTGCAATTAATTAATAATAAGATATTTTGTTACGAATGGCTAATAGCATTTATTGAGTGTTCACAGGCACTGTGCTAACTACTTTTCATACATTTGATCCTCAAAACATCCCTCTAAGGTATTGATACTATCCCTAACTCCATGAGATTGAGACCACTGAGGCTTAGAGAAATAAGAAAATTTTCCTAGATGACAATAGAAGGTGGCTGAGCTAGGGTTTGGACCCCAGATCTTTCCAATTGTAGAGTCTGTGTTGTTAACTGTTAACGTTATGTTGTACACAATCCATTCTGTTTAGAGAGGAAAATGGAAGAGGCCTCAGGAAGAGGCCATTTTTGCCCAGTTTTGAGGTATGAAAACGACAAGATGGGGGAAAGATATTCGAGGCAAAAGGAACAGCATTTGTAAAGGTATGGAGGTAATGAAGTAGTAGTTCCATGTGTCTGCAGTAGAATTTTAATGTGTGGTTAGAATCACTTGGATTAGATGTCAAAATGTAGATTCTGTGACCTCTTCTTCAGACTTACTGGATTTATATCTGGAGCTTTTTCATCAGTAGCTCCCCAAATGATTCTAATGCAGATAGAATCATTTGGGAAGTTTGGGAACTGCTGGTGCAGTGCACAGGGTTGATACTGGAGAGAGGGCAGAAATGAGTCTGGAGAGGTAGTAGGCAGGAGTAGGAGTTTGCTTCATCATTATGAACTCTTAAGCTTTGTGTGCAATTTGCATTTTCTACTACTCATCAGGAGTGCTTTTATTTTTGACTATCTGATTTAAGGTCAACCAGCTTTTGACAAAGGATGCTTGTATAATAGCTTCATTTTATTATGTGTATGCTTGCTGTAAAATTGGGAGTTTCTCAAAGTCCACTCCAGGAGCTACACCGGATAAACCGCATTATGTATAATAGCATTATGTAATTTTGTTGCTGGATTTCTTAGATTCTTTCATATGCTAGTAAAAATGATACGTATTGATAACTTCCAAGATGAGGTTTTCAAATACATCTTCTGGAACTAAGGTCCAGTGAAACATGTTTTTGAAAATCTCCTGTAGAAATGTCTTCATGGCATTTAACTGACTTGGTATTGAATGTGTTACCAATTTATAATGGTAGGTTAGTATGCAAGTTCAACAGTTTTGTTTGACTCTTCTAATGGATAAGGAAGAAACAAGTATCCTGAGTTTGGTTCTTTACAAGGATTTCTATTTGACATTTATACACTTTGAAATTTACAAATTAATATTTGCTTTATGTCAGTTTTATTATTTACTTTGTAACTCTTAAATGTTAATCATCTCTGAGTACGTGTATTGTGGCCCTGGTCCATATGGAGTGTGGTTTCTGTTTGTATGCTGAGCCAAACAACCAGATCATTCCTTAATGGGTAACCAGTATTTATTTGTATCTACAATGTGAACGATTATAAGAGGGAGGTGTGAGGCATTATAGACATTTTTAAAGATTCTAAAAAACCTCAGAGTGGTCAGTTTCTTTGACAGTTAACAATTAGGGAATTTTTTAAATTAAGAACATGGCATTTAAATGGCAGTTCCTACAATTGATTTGTTATACTCATATCTGAGTTTTTAAAAACTGTATTTTGGGTTTTTTAAGTTTGCAGTTTAAACTAATTGTTGAAACCAGCCTAAAAATTTTGAATATTCTGATAACTTTTAAGTGTAACTGTATGACTTCTGATATACTCTTTTCCTGAATCCTGTGATGTCACGGCCTAAGTGCATTCTTCAACTTGAGTCTGTTGACTAGCACTTTCTTAGTGTGCTTAGCAGTGATTTCTTACCTTTTTGTCTTAACCATATCACACATAATGAATAGATACCCAGTTTTTATGAAATTCCTTAAAAATTGATGAGAATTTCCTAAGTTTCACAATCCTGACCATATGTAATGTCTTTGTCATGGTTGCTTGTTTTATTTACTTATTTATTTTTAAAGATTTATTTATTTATTTGAGAGAGAGAGCAAGAGGGGGGAGGGAGAAGAAGGAGAGCCCCCGCTGAGTGGGAGCTCGACAAGGGGCTGGATCCCCAGGACCCTGGGATCATGACCTGAGCCTAAGGCAGACGCTTAACCTCCTCAGCCACCCAGGCGCACCATGGTTGCTTGTTTTAGAGTGTATACACCATGTGTCTGGAAATCCAGGGTAGAATATAGCAGATAAGTTTTGGGATGACTGTCTAGTTCATGATATCTCTCCCTCTCTGGCAGTGGCTCCCAGTGCTCTGTCCATGTTCTGGTTTTATAACCCAGTGAATACTGAGTCACGACATCTGATACTGCTCTGGCCAGTTAGATCACCTGTCTTGGGAGTTTAAAATTTAGATCCTAGACACAGAAATTTAGCATGGTTAGAGTGAGTCATGGTATTGATATTGCTCTAGTAGAAAGGTCCTTGAGTTCCCTTTTCTAAACTCTGAGCTGCCTTGGTTCCTACCCTTTCTGAGTCTTTAGTCATTCATTCCACTTTGATTCTGGGAATATTGTTCTTTTTTCTGAAGATAGCCAGAGATGGTTTCTGTTGTTTGCAGTAAAAGTAAATTGAGCCACACACGAACATGCTGTTAGAATTATGTTATGGGTGTGTCATGGACAGCATTCCAAAAACCAGTTACAATTTTCCCTATTGCCTCCTGCTTTAGTTCCTCTTCTGGTGCCTGTATGTCCCACCTTCCCTCCTCAATAATTTTGTTAATTTTTTTTTAACTCTTTTATTCCAAACTAGTTGCAAATACCTGTTGTCTACACACCTTTTATAGCTCAGTCTCATATAGATCACTTCCTTTAGGCTTTCAAAATAACATGCATACTTTCATGATAGTGCATATTAGTTTATGTTGTTAATGATACATTTGTCTGGCTCATTAGAAAGTAGCTTCTTAGGATCAGGCATTGAGACATGTTCAGCCTTAACTCCCAGCACTTGCACATAGCTTGTTGAGTTAATTATTCTTCACTTTAAAGTATAGTCGGCCCTTGAACAATGTGGGTTTGAACTGCGCAGGCCTACTTATATGTGGATTTTTTTTCCAATAAATACAGTACAGTACTGTAAATGTATTTTCTGTATACAGAAAATACATTTCTTAATAGCATTCTTCTCTAGCTTACTTTATTGTAAGAATATAGTATATAATACATATAACATACAAAATATGTGTTAGTTGACACGTTATGTTATTGGTAAGGCTTCCAGTCAGCAGGAGGCTGACTGTAGTCAGTTTTTGGGAAGTCAGTAGTTATACATGATTTTCAACTGTGGGGGGGGGGGGGTCAGTGCCCCAAAAGATTCTCCCCTCCCATGTTGTTGAAGGGTCAACTAATTTCCCTCAAACTTAAACTTTTGTCCCAGGGTTATTAGATGTATGACTGAGACTGCTCTAAGCCTCAGTTTTGTTATCATGAAAAGTACTGTTATGAGGAGTAAATGAACTAACAGGAGAGAGCCTAACGGCATTGGGCTCTTAATAGGTACTTAGTACATGTGAGCTATCCCTCTCCTTGTTTGTTTAGATTTGCCTGGGAGAATGTGTCCCGTATATCATTTGGCCTTACAGTTTCATAGTTCTTTTCCTTAAAATAATTTTAACTTTATAAAACCCAAGAATGTTTCTTTTAAAAAAAGAACTTGGGTACCTCTTTGCTTGTATTTCTTTGAAAAATATATTTAGGAGCTAGAATTATATGAGAACATTAGAGTTTTGTTTTTGTTTTTAAGTGCAGCTCTTCAAGATATAAGTCTCCTATATAATAATCTAGGGATATACTTTACAGATTTGTTTTGGTGAAGATTGGTTATCTTTTCCCATTTTGGAATCCAAACCATGTTAGCCGTTTTACAGGTAGATGATCTTTTTTAAAGTGGCATGTTTCCATATAAGTATAAAACAACAATTTTATATTGAAGTGTGCATATTCCTACATTTTAAAAAATTGTTGAGAAATTTTAACATTTCACTACCAAAAATTTTTGCACTTTCCTAATTTTTTCACCCTTGATTTTTCAGAATGAACCTAGTGATCGAGAGGATGGCCTCAACAAAAGGCACCATGTGACAGATTCTGAGAATGATGACCCCTCAAATCTTAATGCCAGTGACTCTGAAAGTGAGGAGCTTCAAAGGCAGAAGGACAGTGACTCTGAATCTGAAGAGCACGCAGAGCCTCCTCCAAGTGATTCTGAAAATGAGGACACTAATCAGCATGGGAGTGACTCTGAGAGTGAGGAGACCAGGAAGTTACCTGCCAGTGACTCTGAAAATGAGGAACTTCTTAATGGGCATGCAAGTGACTCAGAAAATGAAGACGTTAGAAAGCATCCTGCCAGTGATTCAGAAATGGAAGAGCTCCCCAAAAGTCCTGCCAGTGACTCTGAAACAGAGGATGCTCTAAAACCTCAGATCAGTGACTCTGAAAGTGAGGAACCTCCACGGCACCAACCCAGTGATTCTGAAAACGAGGAGCTTCCCAAACCTCGAATTAGTGATTCTGAAAGTGAGGAGCTTCCTAAGCCTCGGGTCAGTGACTCGGAAAGTGAGGAGCCTCAGAGGACTCAGGCCAGTGACTCTGAAAATGAAGAGCTTCCCAAACCCCGTATCAGTGACTCAGAAAGTGAGGACCCGCCAAGGCACCAAGCCAGTGACTCAGAAAATGAGGAGCTTCCCAAACCCCGTATCAGTGACTCAGAAAGTGAGGGTCCCCCAAGGCATCAAGCCAGTGACTCAGAAAATGAGGAGCTTCCCAAACCCCGGATTAGCGATTCAGAAAGTGAGGACCCCCCAAGGAACCAGGCCAGTGATTCAGAAAATGAGGAGCTTCCCAAGCCCCGAGTCAGTGACTCTGAGAGTGAGGAGCCTCAGAAGGGACCTGCCAGTGATTCTGAAACTGAGGATGCCTCCAGACACAAACAGAAGCCAGAGTCAGATGATGACAGCGATGGGGAGAATAAGGGAGAGGATACAGAAATGCAAAACGACTCCTTTCATCCAGATAGCCATGTAGACAGAAAAAGGATCCAGAGTTCTGACAGCGAGGAAGAAGAACCCAAAAGGCCAAAAATTGACAGTGATGAAGATGAAGAAAAGGTGGGGGAGGAGGAGAAAGTAGCGAAGCGAAAAGCTGCTGTACTTTCTGACAGTGAAGATGAAGAGAAAGCATGTAAGGAATTGTTTTGGACTGTTTATGCATAGTTTTAATTATTGTCTCAGCTTGTAACTGAAGCAGTGTTTCTGAAATGTTAGATCTATATTCTCTCATTCAACTTGATCTTCTAAAATATTACCAGGACACTAGTTCTGCTTGGTTTTCAGTGGCTGATCTTAGTATTAAATTTGCTTTGAGTTGTTCTAGGAGTATTAAGATCTGACTAGTTCAAAATAGTAAACTAATGGGAGTTTCAATGGGAATATGAAAGGTTTAGTTTTTTTGTGGGGGAAGGGTAATATTTCAAAGAAATATGTTTACATGAAAACCCAGCTGTATCCAGAGTTAGCTGCAGGTGTGACAGTCAGTGCACTAGTTTCCATCTAGATAGTGACTACGTTCCCAAGTCTTTTTGGGTACCTGTCTTTTGTGAAACATGGTTGAATACCCAAATACGAGGAAATTTGTGAGGGGGACTGTATTTAGAGACTTTCTGTCTCTGTAGCATGTTCTAGTCTTTGTTACCTGGGACCCTGTTTTCATGGATAATAATTTTTACTTGATTAGTTTTTAATGGAACTTCCTTGGTACGGTGGGGAGACCTATTCCCTTATAACCTGACAATTGTTACAGAAGAAGGAAAAAGACCATCACACATGTGCCATCCGGTTTACTAAGGGAGATAAGAAATTCCAAACTGACCAGCAATGATGGGGGAATATGGGGATTCCACAAAAGTGTATCTAAGCCTTTTCAGTTCTGCTAATACTCGGCAGAATAGAAGGGACTCTAATTCTGTACATCAGTGTAGTCTTATTTTTGCCATTCCACCAAAGGAGAGGTAGCTATTGGTGTCCATTTTTAATATGATTTTGTTCATTAATTTCCCGTCACTTTTTCCTAAACAATAACAATTATAAGATGACTCTGAACCTTTTAGTTATTATTATTTTTTTAATAAGTTTTTATTTAAGTAATCTCTATACCCAGTGTGGGCTCAAACTCACGACCTGGAGATCAAGAGTCACATGCTCTGATTGAGACAGCCAGGTGCCCCTGGTTATTTGTTTATTTTTTAATTATTCTAAGCTGTGTGTTAGGAGCCCTTTGATTTTTGCCGAGTATTGCCATTTTAAAGCACCTGTTCCTCTTAGTAATACCATGACCATGATGAATAAGATTAATGATATTTTCCACCTTTTTTGACAGCAAAGAAGAGTCGTGTTGTCTCTGATGCAGATGACTCTGACAGTGATGTTATATCAGACAAATCAGGCAAAAGAGAGAAGACTCTAGCATCTGACAGTGAAGAAGAAGTAGGGAAAGAAGAGTTGTCTGATAAGAAAAATGAAGAGAAGGATCTGTTTGGGAGTGATAGTGAGTCGGGGAATGAAGAAGAGTAAGTGACAGTATAACATGAGTTTTCAAGGGTTCATATGAGGTGGTAGAGAGGGGTTTGTCTTTTAAGTTTTTTAAACTTGTATTAAAATTTCGTAATGAGAGGTAATACCTGCCTAATTGCATGATTTTGGGGGATTCAGGAATCCTGAACTATTGCTGCACACTATAACATAGATGAATCTCAGCAGTATTAAGTGAAAGAAGTGAAGAGGACGTGTCTGATTCTACTGATGTGAAGTTCAGGAGTAGGCAGAATTAATCTGCAGTGATGGAAATCAGAATGGTGGGTTGGCTCTAGGATGTTCCTGTAGGGGACTGCCTAGAAAGGGCCACAACTGAACTCTCTGGGGAGATCAAATTGTCCTATATTTTGATTAGGGTAATGGTTACATGAATGTGTACTTTTCTCAAAACCCACTGAAATGGATGCTTAAGATCTGCACATTTTACTATACATAAATTGTACCTTGTTAGAAAAAGATTTTATAGTTCCTGTGCAAATGAGAAGAAAGCAAATGATTTCCTTCTCTTCTAGAAATCTTATTGCAGACATATTTGGAGAATCTGGCGATGAAGAGGAAGAAGAATTTACAGTAAGTATAAGGGAGATATTTCCTCTTTGACTGTGCTTTTTTGTTTCTGTGGCAGTGGTTCCCAAATAGGTAATTCCAATAAGTAGAAATAAACAATTATAATGTATTCAGTAGAAAAATCTAGAACAGAGGATTCAGAAAATGAAATAAAAGTGTATACAAAGGCATAAAAGGCAAAATTGAATTAATTGGGGGGACATATTAAGAAATGATGAAAGGTACATTATAATGCTAAAGGGAAAGATTCACAATACTTATGAAACTTGGAATTCTAGCAATGGCAGGCTAGGTAATTTGGACCAACCCTTCTGCTAACGACAACTAGAAAAGCCAGACAAAAGGTTTAAAAATCTCATCAGCAGAGGAACAAGGTAGCAAAGAATGACTAAGCCAAACCCCAGCAACAGACAGATATCTAAAGAGGTAAGCTCAGCATTTAGAACTGCTTTTTCTGGAATGTTTGCCTGTTTAGGCTGGGAGGCTGGTCATATTTTTGACAGCCTCAGGGCTCAAGAGATAAAATTTGAAGGTCAGAGCTTTAGGAGACCCTGAAAACCTCATGCTCTGAATTAGGACTCCTTGGATTAAGGATGTGGAAGTGATAATAGTCTTTGCTCAGATTTTAGGCCAGTTTTGAGTCTTCTAACAACCCAGAGAACCTCAGTCCCAGAGATTTGATCACAGTGTCTCTTTACTCATTGGCTAGTGCTCTCAGGCACCTGGTGTATGCAAACAAATCCCTTTAGGACAGAGGTTATCACAGGCCTCAGATTGTAATGAGAGGTAATACCTGCCTAATTGCATGATTTTGGGGGATTGTATTGTATCTGTATCAGATACACAGTGTGGTACACAATCATAGGTAACATTAAAAAGAAACAATAGTGACAACAGATAATAGAAACAGACCTAAAGGTTCTAGATTCAGTAATTTTAGATATTTCCTTAAAAAACAAAAAAACTGTTCAGGGAGATGAAAGATGAGAAATTTTGTCAGAGCAAACAATTTTTTTTTTTAATTTAAAAATTTTAAGATTTTATTTTTAAGTAATCTCTATACCCAGCATGGGGCTTGAACTCACAACCCTGAGATCAGGAGTTGCATGGTCTACCAACTGAGCCAGGCAGGCGCCCCAGAGCAGACAATTTTTTAAAAAGGTAGATTTGGAAGAGAACCAATTAGAAATTCTGGAACTGTAAAATTATAGTAACAAATTAAAAATTTGGTGGGTGAGTTTAACAACAGATTAGATTTATTCAAAAAGAAAATGAGTGAACTGGAAGATAGGTTAGAAGGAGCTATTTAGAATGAAGAATTGAAGTATGTAAAAATAAAATGTAAATTATACATGAGAAGGTTTAACACAGTGAATTGGAATCTCAGGAGAGGGAAAAATACATGCAGCAGAAGCATTTAAAGAAATGATATGTAAAGCGAGAGTTTCTAGAAGTTGTACAAATTATAAGCAGGATAAATGCAATGATACAGTGAAAATCTATACCTAAATACATCATAGTAAATTTGCAAGAAGCCAGAGAAGACAGGGAAATCTTAAAAGTAGCCACGGGGGGGAAATACTACATTCAGAGAGGCAAAATCAGATTAACAGCTGACTTCTTAATAGAAACCATAGAATCCAGTAACTGCGAACTTAGTGTTCTGTTACATTCAGCAAAAATACTTGTCAGGAATGAAGATTTCCTCCTAATTCATGTTACCAATATACCAGTTGATAGAGATAGTCTTAAAGGCAGAAAGAAAATCTCAGGTAGAAAATCAGGGATTTAGGAAGAAAAAAGCAACAAAAGTAATGTGGGTAAGTCTAAATGAGTATTGATGCTACAAAAAAAAAGTCATGTCTGGTGTGGATTGAAATACGTTTAGAATTAAAACATGACAGCAGTAACAAATTGGGAGTATACATGGTCTTTGCAAATGTGTGTGAAAGGACATTAGTAGGCTTTGCATTGTAATCTCTAAAGTGGCCACTGAAAAGACAATGGGAATATGTAGCCTGCAACTAGTAGAGGGGGAAAAACAAAATAATAAAAGCTATTAATCCGCGGGGATGTGGAGAAAGGGGAACCCTCCTACACTGTTGGTGGGAATGCAAGCTGGTGCAACCACTCTGGAAAACAGTATGGAGGTTCCTCAAACAGTTGAAATTAGAGCTACCGTTCGATCCAGCAATTGCACTACTGGGTATTTACCCCAAAGATACAAATGTAGGGACCCGAAGGGGTACATGTACCCCAATGTTTATAGCAGCAATGTCCACAATAGCCAAACTGTGGAAAGAGCCAGGATGCCCATCGACAGATGAATGGATAAAGAAGATGTGGTATATATACACAATGGAATATTATGCAGCCATCAAAAGGAATGAGAACTTGCCATTTGCAACGACGTGGATGGAACTGGAGGGTGTTATGCTGAGTGAAATAAGTCAATCAGAGAAAGACATGTATCACATGACCTCACTGATATGAGGAATTCTTAATCTCAGGAAACAAACTGAGTGTTGCTGAGTGGTGGGGGGTGGGAGGGATGGGGTGGCTGGGTGATAGACATTGGGGAGGGTATGTGCTACGGTGAGCGCTGTGAATTGTGCAAGACTGTTGAATCACAGATCTGTACTTCTGAAACAAATAACGCAACATATTTTAAGAAAAAAGAAAAAGAAGAAGATAACAGGAGAGGAAGAAAAGGGGAGTATGTCAGAGGGGGAGACGAACCATGAGAGAGGATGGACTCTGAAAAACAAACTGAGGGTTCTAGAGGGGAGGGGGTAGGGGGATGGGTTAGCCTGGTGATGGGTATTGAGGAGGGCACGTTCTGCATGGAGCACTGGGTGTTATGAACAAACAATGAATCATGGAACACTGCACCAAAAACTAATGATGTAATATATGGTGATTAGCATAACAATAAAAAATTTAAAAAAAAACTATTAATCCAAAAAAAAGGGGGGGGGTTGGTGCCTGAGTGGCTCAGTCGTTAAGCGTCTGCCTTCAGCTCAGGTCATGATTCGAAGGTCCTGGGATCAAGCCCTGTGTTGGGCTCCCTGTTCAGTGGGAAGCCTGCTTCTCCCTCTCACTCTCCCCCCCTTTGTGTTCCCTCTCCCGCTGTCTCTCTCTGTCAAATAAATACAATCTTTAAAAAATAAATAAAAGCTATCAGTCCAAAAGAAGGCAAGAGAAAAAGAAAGAGGTATAGAACAGGGAATAATTAGAAAGTAGTATATGGTAAGATAGCAGATTTAAGCTTTGATAATATCTCACATTACATTAAATTGAAATGTATCAAGTGCTCTAATTAAAGGACAAAGATGGTCAGATTGGATTTTAAAATGTAACTGTTTACTCATTTCATGATTCTTCTGAAAGAAGATAAAGAAAAGGTGGAAATAAAAGGATGGAAAAAGATACTGTGTGTGAACACTAATCAAAAAACTGGCACAGCTATATGAATATGAGACTTTGAGGCAGAAAAACATTTGAGATAAAGAGGGTCACTTAAGGGGTGCTTGGGTGGCACAGTTGGTTAAGCGTCCGACTCTTGGTTTCGGCTCAGGTTATGATCTCACAATCATGAGATTCCCCCCCCCCCCCCCCGGCTCTGTGCTCAGCGCAGAGTCTGCTTGAGATTCTCTCTCGCGCAAATAAATAAATATTTTTAAAAAAGAGAGTCACTTTATATTGATAAAAAGGTTTTAGAATTGTATGTATATACTAATATGGCAGAAATACATATATACAAACAAAAATTGACAGAACTGCAAAGAGAAATAGACAAATCTATTATCTGAGTGGAAGGTAACCAATAGAACAAGCAGACCAAAAAGCCACAGAAGTCTCTTTTTATGTAATCTGGAAACAAAATGCAAATAAGAATACAAAAGAAAAGATTGGGGATTATAAAAGTTAAAATTATTTTCTGTTCTTTGGCTTTCCTTTTCACTTTCTTAACTTGTGATGAACAAAAGTTTTTAATTTTACTATATATCAACTTTATCCACCTTTTCCTTTATGGTGAAACTTTCTGAATTCCCACAAATTTTTGCTTATTCCTAAGGTCATAAAGATACTCTCTTGAATGATCCTCTAGAAGCTTATTTCATATTTAGTTGTACAATCCCCCTGTAATGGGTATGTATGAGATAGAAGTTCAAGGGGTTCCTCGTTGGCTCAGTTGGTGGAGCATGCAGCTCTTCATCTTGGGACTGTAAGTTGGAGCCCCACATTGGGTATATAGAGTTATTTAAAATTAAAATGTTTAAAAAAAATATTTCCCCCATTTGGAATATCCAGTTCACCCAGGTCATCCTTTACTGCTCCTCTCTAGTGCCATCTTTGAAGTGTCTATGTAATTTCCAGTCTGTTTTGGCAGTTTCTTGTCTGTTCTTTTAGTCTCTTTATCCTTGCAGTATTAATACAGAACTGTGGATATTTGGTGGTTTATGTCCTCTAAACTTGTTATTCCTCAAGATTGCCTTGGCTTTCTTTTTTCGCATTCCCGTATAAATTTTAAACCAAGCTTTTGCAAAAATTACAAAGTATAAACATTTTCTGAATGCAGAGCAGTGAAATTAGAAATTCATTACAAAATCAAAATATCCTCGCCACCCAGAAATTTAAGACTTCCTTGTCAGACAGTTCTTGCATTGAAAAAGAAATAGTACTTTAATTACTAAGGAGAGTGAAACTAGATGAATTTAGATTCTGATTCAAGATGGTAGAAAAATAAAGTGAACCTAAGGAAAATAGGAGTAATAGGAATAACTCATTCAGCAAATATTTGGGAGCCTGTATGCCAGAGATTGTTTGGACATTGCCCTCATGGAGTTCATACTCAGTTCAGCAGCATTTTTACAAGAATAAAATGTATTTTTCTAGAGTGTTAACATCAGCTTGATTATAGGTTTAGTTCAGTGAGAAAAACAACATACTAGGTGAACTGTTGGAATGATCTAAGTACAATATGGAGAAGCTATAAAGAAAAGACCATTTTTTTTTAAAAGATTTTATTTATTTATTTGACAGACACAGCGAGAGAGGGAACACAAGCAGGGGGAGTGGGAGAGGGGGAAGCAGGCTTCCCGTGGAGCAGAGAGCCTGATGTGGGACTCGATCCCAGGACTCTGGGATCATGACCCGAGCCGAAGGCAGATGCTTAACGACTGAGCCACCCAGGTACCCCAAGAGTGACCATTTTAATTACATAAAAATAAAAAATTATGCAGAAAACATTAAACAAAATGAAACTGTACATATGTGAGGACTGTGCAGTCCCTGTCACTTACAAAGGGCTAATTTTCCAGAGTTTTAAAGAGACTTTCCATACCAATAAGACAAAGATCCAACAGGAAAATGGACATAGGGTATTGGGAGTTCCATAGAGAAAGAATTAAAAATGACCTTTAAACATGAACAAAATACCCACCCTTACTCTTAAGAGAATATAAAGAAAAATGCCTTTTAGTTTTCAGTCCAGAGATTGGCAAATATCAATGTTTGATAACCTGTAGTAGTGAGAAGTTGGAGAAACAGGTGTACTTATGCTTTGCTGGAGAGAGAGTTAATTAGTATAACGTCTGAAAAGTTTAGTAAATATTTCACAAAATTTCAAATACGTATACCTAAATGTCAGTGGCGAAATATACAAATTATGGTTGCAGTCCTAGTGTGAAATAGTCTAAAGCCTTAAAGTGAATGAGGATTCTTTATGCCAATATAAATTGATCTCCATATTCTGTTGTTAAATGTGGAAAGTGCAGACCAGTATATACTGTACCCAGTGTATAGAGTATGCTGCCATTTGTATAATAAAAGGGGAAAAGAAATACATATGTGTACAATTATGTGTGTAAATGTAGGCTATTTCTGGAAGGAGACATAAGAAAACTAGTAACACTAGCGGCCTGGTGGGAGGGAGCTTTTTTGCTGTATACCTTTTGATACCTATTTAATTTTTGTTCTTTGTGAATGTATTACTTTAAAAATGCAAAAAAAAAAAAAATTAAGAGCAGTTATACCGAAGAAAATCTGTAAGGAAGTTGTGATAACCCTGGCAAATTTACCTGGCCTGTAGGGTTTTAACCAAGAAGATTTAGAAGAAGAAAAAAGTGAAACACAGGTAAAAGAAGCAGAAGATTCAGATTCTGATGATAACATAAAGAGAGGAAAACAGTGAGTTTGCTTTATTTTTTAAAAAGGAATTTGTTAAAAACAGGGTTGTTGGAGGGGAGGGGGTGGAGGGATAGGGTAACTGGGTGATGGGCATTAAGGAGGGCATGTGATGTAATGAGCACTGGTGTTATATAAGACTGATGAATCACAACTCTACTTCTGAAACTAATATATGTTAATTAATTGAATTTAAATTAAAAAATTTTAAAGATCATAAAAAAAGTTTGTTAAAGAGTACTTTAAAATAAAGGTAGAAACTATCAAACTTTGTTTTTTCTTATTTTGGTTCCTTACTAAGTGTAGCAAAGACTGTTCCACTTTTCTCCCTTCTACTTCTCGATAGTACAGTATAGTATTTTCTGTCTGAAAATATATTCACTCTTACTCTTTTTCTTTCATTTGCCCTGTGCTCAGCTTCTTAATTTGTGGGGTTCTATGGTGTTACCCTCACTGAGTAAGCTCTTCTTGAGTTACTGAAAAATAACATAAAAATACATTTTTTGAGAGAAAAGCTGACTTTGGGGTCCCAGGGACAATGAGGCAGAGTTCTAACTACAAGATATTACTTGACTGAATTTCACATACTTTTGTTGAGATGGTTGGAATCTGTGTTCAGAGAAGTCTGATATCTGCAAAGGTGCCAAGTTGTAAGTATTTGCACTTTGGAAGAAAGTAGCATTTCGTGGAGGTAGAATTAAGAAAGCGGGTGGTTCTTTACTGTGACAAAAGGAAATATGTATTTAAAAGGGAATTTGTATTTCACTTGATTTTGTGTTGCTGCTTAGTATGGACTTTCTGTCGGATTTTGAGATGATGCTGCAGCGGAAAAAGAGCATGAGTGGCAAGCGCAGGCGTAACCGTGATGGTGGTACTTTTATTAGTGACGCTGACGACGTAGTGAGTGCCATGATTGTCAAGATGAATGAGGCTGCTGAGGTGAGACGGGTCACTGGTTGCTTCCTCTTTTCTTTCCTTACTTACTTGGTTGTGTGGCCTTTCAAAGGAGGGGAAAGGAAAAGTATCTGGAGACATAGCTGAAATAAGACTGGTCATGGGTGTTTAATTGTGGAAATGTATGTGATAGTATATTAGTTTGTTTTCTGTCTTGGTAGAATTTGACATTTTCTATAATTAAAATAGGAAAAAGCACGCAAGTAAATATTGAAACTCTTCTTTAGTAATAACTAAATTAATAGTTGTTACTCTAAATTAGTAATTTTTTTAAGCTAATCTAACAGTTTTGTGGGTTTGATTAACAGACATAGAATTTGGGGTTCTACAAAAAGTTCATTTTTTAGTTATCCTTTCTTGTAGAAAAAATTGTTACTCAGAGACACTGCTGCTTTATTTTAAAGTTTACAATTATAGTGGTACAATTCATTATTAACAATAAGTATTGCTTTTTTTTTAAAAATCTTTTTCTTCCTGGATAGGAAGACAGACAGTTGAACAATCAAAAAAAGCCAGCACTGAAAAAATTAACATTATTACCTACTGTGGTCATGCACCTTAAGAAGTAAGTATTCTGTTTCCTTGAAAAAGTTTTTTCCTTTTAATGGAATAATATTCAAACTATGTACTGGTGTTCTAAAGATGTCATGTAATGACTGCTGTCTGTCAATTCACAGAAAAATAATAGAATTTCCTAAATTATGTTACTTCCTCACAAATTTTTCTTTTTATTAAATTAAATTAATTTTTTTTTTTAAGAGGTGGGTGGGGGCAGAGGGAGAGAGAATCTTAAGCAGGCTCCATGCCCAGCTTGGAGCCTGATGCAGGGCTTGGTCTCACAACCCTGAGATTATGACCTGAGCTGAAATCAAGAGTTGGTGCTTAACCAACTGAGCCACCCAGGTGCCCCCTCACAAATTTTTCTTAAACTTTGATACCTGTTACAAACAGAGCAGAACAAATAGCAAACTGACACTAAGGAAAGAAAAGCATGTAAACCACTACTTTTGTTCTTTATCGACTCTCTTATTTTAAGTTTGGTAAAATTGCACCTCTTTTCCTAGTGTGATTGAGCACCAGAGCAAATTTCGGGGGGACTACTTGAAGCATGTATTGTAGGAGGCTTATATGACCAGTTTTATCATGAAGTATGTCACTGGTCTTCTGGGTTAAGGACCCTTTTTTGATAGATCTTGATACTAGCCTCTTTCATTGGTTTACTCATATTCCTGAGCAGCTGATTTCTCTTGAACCTAACCAAGTTAGGTGTCCTGCAAAGAATAGCACAATTCTGGGTTCTCTATCACCTAAGCCAGTTTGAGAATCTCTATTCTGAGAGATTAAAGATAACTTTTTTTAGTTGTAATAATTGGAGCTCTTTATTCTTACTGTCTATACCATTCATATCAGCATTAACCTATCTTGTATAATTCAAGTTTTTAACAAATGATCTTTGCCTGTCAAATCTGTTTTTTTTTTTTTAAGTAGGAACTAAATTTTATATTGCTTTTGAAACATGAATAGGTACTCAGTAAATAATGTATATGAGTAACTTGAGAAGCAGTTTTTGGAAACACCACTAAATAGATAAGAAAATCCAGAGGAAGCTATGGTAGAACCAAGGTTCATAGACTTGACTTTTTTTTTTTTAATTAACTATAGGCAGGACCTTAAAGAAACATTTATCGACAGTGGTGTGATGTCTGCCATCAAAGAATGGCTCTCCCCTCTACCGGATAGGAGTTTGCCAGCATTAAAGATTCGAGAGGAGCTGTTGAAGATTCTGCAAGAGGTTAGAGGCAAATAACATGAGTATATGTTCTTCATTAATTATCTGATGTGGTTTGTATTGTCACAGCCTCTGTGTCACCATGTACGTACACATTCTCTCTGCCATAGTCTGCCAGAAGAGGGGTTTCATTCGGTATGTCTATTAGAAACATACCAAATAAAATGAGCATAAAAAGGAAGGCCTTATAAAATTTCATGTAACTATAGTATTGAAGGAAAAAGATCTTGGAGTTGCTATTATTTGAGATGAAGCATACAGCAGTGGACATGTTTTAGGGAGGCACTTCAAGTAGAAAAGGCACCAACTTCAGATTCAGATAAACTTGATTGTGAATCTTTTTTTTTTTTATTCATGAGAGAGAGAGACAGAAGCAGAGGGAGAAGCAGGCTTCCTGCTGAGCAGGGAGCCCAATGTGGGACTGAATCCTAGGACCCTGGGATCATGACCTGAGCTGAAGGCAGACGCTTAACCATCTGAGCCACCCAGGCACCCTTGATTGTGAATCTTGAGCTGGGCCACCTTTATGTGGCTGTGACACCTTGGGCAGGCTACTTAACTTCTGAAGGAATTCCCAAGGAACTTCCTATGTGCTAGGTATTCATACATGTATTGCTTCATTTATTCCTCACAACAAACCTGCAAGGTAGGTGTATTGTTTTCATTCTACAGATGAGGAAATGAAGACTGAGAGGAGTTAAATGACTTGTCCAAGGTCACATACCTAGCAGATGGTTATGCTTGGGTTCAGACTTAGGTCTGTTTGATTCAGAGGCCTGTACTGAGGCTTGCATTAAACTGCTAACCTCTGAATATGGTTAGTTTACACTTTCCACATTGTTAAGTTTTACTTTGACTCGGTGTAATACTGAACTCTCAACTCTTGGTGTGAACACAGAGTATCTTTGTGTTCAATGTCTGCAGATCCTGAAAATGGAATTTTCATTATTGTGAAAGAACCAGGTGTTGGAGGTCCTCTAGAATAGATTGGCAGGACTCCCAGCTTTTGAGTGATTAATGTGTATGTATGTGTTTGTGTTCCCCAGCTACCTAGTGTGAGCCAGGAGACCCTGAAGCATAGTGGGATTGGACGAGCAGTGATGTATCTCTATAAACACCCCAAGGAATCAAGGTCCAACAAGGATATGGCAGGGAAATTAATCAGTATGTACATTTTGCTTTTTGTTTGTTGTGTTTGTGTATATCAGAAGGACATGTATGTATAAAAACAAACTATTATTTTTACCAGTATTCATTTAAAATGAGTTCATGAAGTAGAATAGAATTTTTTTTTGGCAATTTCTTGTGGGTACCAGCTTTTTTAGCCTTAGACTTAAAATGTTCCTCAGCATATTTAAGTATGCTATCAGTATTAAGGATAGCAAGTGAAAAGTTTTCTAATCCTGGATCAAGAGCATGTATAGAGAGGGGGTTAGTGTACAGGCCATAGAGTCAGTCATACCTGGGTTCGAATCCTGAATTCACCACCTACCTTACTGAGTATCTTTAGGCAAGTGATTTAAGCTCTAAGCCTTGGTTTCCTCCTCTGTAAAATAATGATATGTTCACTTTGAATTATAAAGATTAAATGAGAGGATATATGTAAAGCACAGGACCTAGCACATAGTAAGACCTCAAGAAATGTTAGCCATTAGTGCTATTGTTGTGACTTTTATAGTGGTCTCCAAAGTGTTTTGCATGTTCTTATTTAATGATAACCGAGAAATCCAGGAGTCTAACTGGAATTAATTTAATCAATTACTGTATCATTTATGAAATCCTTTAGTTTTAAGAATGAAAACTGTGTGTTTTCGTCATTCTTCTTAATTCTTCCTGTGCTCCATGTTGCAAAGGAATTTTTTAAACCTCAAGGGTATATCAAAAAATACTCCTATATGTGAATACAGTAATTATTTTTCTACTGATTTTTGAGATTATCAAAATTTTTTAGAGAAATTTATTTTTTTTATGAGCCAGAGAAGTATTACGTTTTTGATCTTGTTAATCTGCAGTGCGCTATTATATGATGAACTTCTAATGCTTTTATGCAGTGGTTCTCAACTCTCATTTTGCCCTAATCTGAGAGAGGCAGAATATTCCCACTAATACCCATGACTTACTGTAAACAGTAATTCTGAATCTAATAGTGGGGTCGGTAGGCTATATATGTAAAGATACGTAGACTCCCTGAGACTCCCTGCTTCCTTATTTGATAACACCTAATATTCTGTCTGTGAAAGTTCTTGCTTGTTTTGATGGTGTATTAAATGCTGCAGTACGCTACATTATGTTTGAGAACAAAAACATCAGTTGTCACCCATGGACTTTTACTGACTAAACAGTGGGCATGTTGTACTTTGGTTCACGGTCACATCACTGTAGCAGCTTTCTTAGACTTAATGAAATCTGGACTCTGTGCTGCACTGTTAAAATGCAATTCTTGAAGATTTAGACCATTTGACAAGAAATAAGTGAGCTTGTTTTTGGTTAGAATAGGAAGCTAGAAGAAGTTGAAGATGTTCTGTTTTCAGTAGAGTAAATTTACAAATTAGGCTGTCTATGAAATATCAACACAGCTAGCTGATGACTGTCAAAGTGAGTCAGATAGTACTTTCTTTAAACCTCTGTAGTGGAGGCTTAAATGACTTTATGACACTGAATTTTCTGGATCAGCTGAAGATGGTTATGATACTGGTATTACATGCTGTGTTTACCCTAAAATGGTCCTGAAATAATGGTATCTTTAGGGAAAGTATATTCTAAATGCCTGGAATATTGCATCACACTAGGGTGTGATGATTTCAGTAAATGGTAGCAGAAATGCTACTTTCTAGTCTAAACAATTGATTTTTCCTTGTTACAGATGAATGGTCTCGGCCTATATTTGGTCTTACCTCAAACTACAAAGGTATGACAAGAGAAGAAAGAGAGCAGAGAGATCTAGAACAAATGCCTCAACGACGGAGAATGAACAGGTATGAGGAGTAAATACTGTTCTCATAATCAGTTGTTTTGTAAATAAGGTCATTAAGAGTCCTGCAAAGTGGGGCGCCTGGGTGGCTCAGTCGTTAAGCGTCTGCCTTCGGCTCAGGTCATGGTCCCAGGGTCCTGGGATCAAGCCCCACATTGGGCTCCCTGCTAGGCGGGAGGCCTGCTTCTCCCTCTCCCACTCCCCATACTTGTGTTCCCTCTCTCGCTGTGTCTCTCTGTCAAATACATAAATAAAATCTTAAAAAAAAAAAAATTCCTGCAAAGTGATAGGGTTTTGTCTTTTCTCACAGCTTGATATGTCTGTGTATTCATACCCTTTTAGTTTAAATGCAGTACTGTACAGTGAAGGCCCACACTCCCTTCTTTTTTGGTTCGATCTGGTGGATTGTGGCCTCTGCCACAGTTTCAGAGGTTGCTTGTGTTGTTCCAGCCAGTTGCAAGAAAAACTTCTCAGGCCCATTTTCAGATTCTTATGTTGCTGGTAGTTTGTATCAGCAACTGGATACAGTTGCATCCAGGATGGCAGAGTTAAAAGTTAGAAAAATGGCAGTTACTGCTCACCCATGATGAAACCTGGTATGCAAACAGTCATTAAAAGAAGTCATACTTTCTCACTGATATGAGGAATTCTTAATCTTAGGAAACAAACTGAGTGTTGCTGGAGTGGTGGGGGGTGGGAGGGATGGGGTGGCTGGGTGATAGACATTGGGGAGGGTATGTGCTATGGTGAGCGCTGTGAATTGTGCAAGACTGTTGAATCACAGATCTGTACTTCTGAAACAAATAATGCAACATATGTTAAGAAAAAAGAAAAAGAAGAAGATAGCAGGAGGGGAAGAGTGAAGGGGAGTAAGTTGGAGGGGGAGACGAACCATGAGAGATGATGGACTCTGAAAAACAAACTGAGGGTTCTAGAGGGGAGGAGGTGGGGGGATGGGTTAGCCTGGTGATGAGTATTAAAGAGGGCACGTTCTGCGTGGAGCACTGGGTGTTTTGCACAAACAATGAATCATGGAACACTACATCAAGAACTAATGATGTAATGTATGGTGATTAACATAGCAATAAAAAATTAAAAAAAAAAGAAGTCATACTTTTACAAGATTTGAAGTAATTTTCCCAGATCCAGTGTAAAGGACCTAATTGTGGTCCAAGTTTGATATTTTGCTTTGCTGTTTTTTTTTTTTCTTAGTTAAAAATTGATTACTCTTTTCACAGCACCGGCGGTCAGACACCCCGAAGAGACCTGGAAAAGGTGCTGACAGGAGAAGAGAAGTAAGATTTTTTATTAATTGTTGTTCTTAGACTTCAAATAGAAAATCTTCTGCTTGCTGCTTTAAGAAAAATGGCAAATGAAACAATGTTATGTTTACGTTGGTGGGGGATGGTTTTCAGTTTAACATTTATTGAATATCCACAAATATGGTGGTGCTCTGGAGGATATAAGATTTAGAAATAGTTCCTTCAGTAAAGATTGAGGTAGTGGAAGATGAGTTTGAGAGTATAGATGTGGGCTAGATTTTGAATGGTCTTAAATTAAGATGAGGAATTGTCACTTCTCTTTGTGATTCCGCAGAAATGTGAAGTTCCAGATTGGATTTGGAATGCTGGTGCTGGTGGCATCGTGGTGTAGGGTGGGTTAGAGTGCAGAGGAGCTGAAGGTAGTGAAACCGAGGTGGTAATGGGGAAGTGGAAGGTTAGGAGACTTAACAGGAGCAAAATTGCCAAGAGTTGGTGACTCCGTGGGCGAGGAGTTTGGCTAACGTTGAAGACACCAATCAGAATTTTACCCCAAGTAACCAAGACAGTGGTATTACCATTTGCTCAGGTGGAGAGGAAGAGTAGATTTTTAGGACATAGGTGCATTCTGCTTTGGGCATTAGTAAATGTGAGATGCCTAATGAAATAGTCCTATAAATATCATGGGTCTAAAACTTGAATTTGGGGCTAGAGACATAATAGATTTGATAGTTATTTCCACAGAAACGATTGTGGAATTGAGAAAGTATAGAGTAAGAAATAAAGCACACCACTGGGTGTAACCAGTGAAGGTAAGTGAGTGGCTATTGTCCTGCGTGTTGGAGGGGACCGTAGAGAATGAGGCCATGCTGGAGAGGGGCAGTGGCAAAGGGCATGGGCCATTGCAGAGGCTACAGAGGAGTTTGTGCAGTGAGTGTTGGCAAGTCAGGCAGCACCCAGATTGCAAGAGAGAGAGGGAGAGGAGCTAGAGGGCGCCAGTGTTGTTCGTTTACGGATAGGTTTGATGATGGAACAGGTGGCAGCTTTAGGGGAGAATACGTTATGAGAATTTTCTTTGGCTAGCCAGTTAATTTGTTCATGTATTTGAAGCTTATAGAAACTTGATATTAAGAATAGATTAAACTCAGGTACCTGGGTGGCTCAACCAGTTAAGCATCTGACTAGATTTTGGCTCAGGTCATGATCTCAGGGTTGTGAGATCGGGCTCTGCACTGGGGGTGGAGCCTGCTTAAGATTCCCCCCTCCCCCTCTCCCCACCCCCTCGCTCTCTGTCACGCTCTCTCTCTCTTAAAAAAAGATTGGACTTTGTACAAGGGAATAGAAATTATTTAGAATTTTTTATCCTTCTCTCCCACTCCAACCTTCCCCCACACAGACACACATATACTCACTCTTCATTTACTGGTAGGGTGAATAGTTACCTAAAGGTTGATTGATTGGAATACCCAGACATTTACAAATAGGCTTTACTTTTAAAGGATGCTAGTCTTAATTTAGTCTCAAATTTGTACATAAAAGTAATTGTATGTCACACCATCAAATGCTGGCAAGGATGTTGAGAAACCAGCTCATTCATACCTTGCTGTAAGTAAAATGATACAGCTACTCTGGAAAACAGTTTGGCAGTTGCAAAGTTAAACATGCAACCACCATATGACCCAGCACTTGCACTCCTGGGCATTTTTCCCAGAGAAATGAACACTTATGTTTGTGCAAAAAACCTATATATGAGTGTACAGCTTTATTCATAATAGTCCAGAACTGGAAACAACCTAGATGTCCTTCAGCAGGTGAATAGTCAAACTATGATTGGTACCATAGAGTACTGCTCAGCAATTAAAAGGAACAAAGTATTGATAGATGGAACGATTTGGATGGATCTTCATTGGCATTATGTTTAGTGGATAAAGCCAGTTTCTAAAGATTATGTAGTGTATTCCATTTATATAACATTTTGAAATGCTAAAATTACAGAAACGAAGAACAGAATTCATAGTCACCAGGTGTTAGGGGCTGGCAGATGGGGTAGGAGGGTGGATGTGTTTTTATAAAAGGGCAATAGGAAGGACCCTTGTGGTGAATACACAAACCTGCGCATGTGATAAAATTGCATAGAACTAATAAACACAGAAACACAAATGAATGCAGGTAAAACTGGGGAAATATAAATAAAAACCGATGGACTTATATCAATGTCAATATTCTAGTTCTTGTAGGATAGTTTTGCATCTTTGACCATTGGGAGAGACACTGGATCTCTCTGTATTATTTCTTAAAACTACGTGTGAATTTGTGATTATCTCAGCTTTTAAAAAGAAGCAAAAATTATTGTATTAGTTGCATATGCAACACCACAAAAACTACTTTATGGGCATACTCAGTTTTGGGGGATCATTTTGGCTACCAGATCTTTCACCTCACAAGTGAGCCCGTGAGGGACTCCACTAGGCCAGAGAAATTGGAATTTGGGGTTCTCTTGTAGGAACCAGCCTTGGAAAGGAGAGAGGCTTGAGTATATCTGAAGCTGAGGAGAGGCTAAAAGGACTCCTGAAAATGCAGAGGAAGTTGGCTTTGGGAGGGAGGTTGAAGAATTTTTAGAGTAATGTGAGTGATGGCGATGTCAGCTACAGCAAGAGGGTGGATTGGGTAACCTGGGGAAGCAGAGGAAGTTTGAAATACCTGGGCAGCTGAATCAGCTGACCCAGCTGTGGTTGGCTTCATAATAGCATGCTCTTCTTCCCATTCTCAGGGCTCTCAGACCTGGAGATCCTGGATTCTGTGCCCGTGCGAGGGTCCCCATGCCCTCAAACAAGGACTACGTTGTCAGACCTAAGTGGAATGTGGAAATGGAGTCATCCAGGGTAAGCAAGCAGGGAAATAGCGAGGTGGATCTCAAGTGCAAGTTACTATTTTGTCTTTTACTTCATGTGTAATAACTCTTAACAGCTCTTGAGGTTTATCTGATTTAAAGAGAGCTGTTTTCTGGTCTCTTAGCTAGCCAGATCATTCATTGCTTGTGAGCTTTACTTCAGACTTAAAGCAACATTATCAATCCCTTTATTTCAACTGAATCTTGAAGCCTAGAGTGTTCTCATGCAGTCATTTTTTAGAACCATGAGAAACAGAACTCCCTGCTTCTTCGATCTACCCCTCCCTTTCTCTTCAACTGTTTTAAGTAATTCTGTTGTGAAATATTTAGGGTAAACACTTCCTCAGTCATCATTGTAAATACTCCGTGATCTTCATTGCTCTTCAGTAATCTTTTTTTATTCTCCATTCAAACTACTCTTTCTAGCCTGGTATTCTTAAAAAGGGCCTAAGCCGATTGGAAAAGCATAAGAGGCGATTTGCAGAACAGAAACGACTCAGCAAAGTGCACCGTGCTGTCAAGTTCAGCATTGAAGGCAACAGGATGCCCCTGTAGTCCTGGCCCTACCAGAGTGTATCCAGGAGGTATCCCCAAGGAAGCATGCTCTGTGCATGAGCTTGAATTGTCAGCAGCTAGAGTGGAAACAAGTGTGCGTGTGCTTTCTTAACCAGAAAAGGCCTGGCCCACTTACAGTTACTGAAATAATGACCTTAACAAACATTTCGTGACTTTCGAGTCCTATTGAATATTTAGAAATGGAAATGGAAGTCCCTTCCTTTATTAGTACCCCGGAAACTCATAATTAATTCCCTGATAAGCATTTTGATCTTGCTGTTACCCATTTTTATTAAAAATAAACCTTTTTTAGGGTCCAGAATCATAGTGGTCTGCATTACAGGCAGGTACACAAGTAATGAGTAGCTTCTTGGTGGAAGGGAGGTGACTTTTCCCTCCATTGTTAGTGGCTCATCAGTGTGCATTTGAGAGGGCCCATTGCATAAAGCCTTACACTGAATAGTTAAGAGATAAATTTGATTATTACATATTTAATACAGGGTCGGAAATGAAAACGTTGGGACCATTCCTTAAAGCCACACTCCCTGCTGTGCTCTGAGATGAATAGCGCTACCTTTGTAGCAGTGTGCTCTTGATGAGAGTCTGAGTGTGTTTCCTTCCCTTTGTCACTTCTCCATGACCCCTGCTTGGGCAGCTATTTTCACGGACTACACTCACCTTTGTGCCAGTTCATTTTTGCTGTTAAGCTGCAATCAGAACAAAGCACACTTTCTTACTTATTGAGAATAAATGAGAGATAGAAGAGCACTACTTCAGTGTCAAGAACTTTTTCATACTTCCTTCCCCTTTTTTGTACTTTTTACCCATATCCACATCCCTTGATACCCCTGCTCTTCCTCAACCACCCCTCTTTTCTTTTTATCTTTACTTTTTTCACTGTCTTTTCGCCTCTTGCTATTCCTCTCTTAGTAGTATTTTTTCTTCCCCAGCACACTTATGTTTGAGAATTGAGAACTACAGTAAGGCAGAGAGCTTGTAATAAAAACTCTCAGTGGCCAGTCTTCTTTGGAAGCCTAACTGTGTCCTGAAGGGCATGTGTCCATCTGCCAGTGTTGCTAGTTCTGATCCCATTCTCCCAGTAGGTGATGGGCAGGTGGGAAGAAGTGGCCCAGCTAGAGCAGAGAGATGACTAAGCAGGACAAGAGGGAAATTCAAGCTGCTTTCCTTTCCTTCATCTTAGCACTCCCAAGATCATAATGTGCCAGTATTTATCTAGGCCCGAGTCTAGGCATGTTTTGGGGGCTGGTGGTTTCATGTTACAGTTTAGGGTGTTGTCCTTAAACCACCTGACGCTGTTTCCCTGTTCAGGAAGAGTCCTTACGAATTCACTCAGGGCTTCCACATTGCAGACACTAATGAGTATTATTAGAAAATGTATTTTCCAGAAGAAGATTGGAGTGAGTAGATGGCTTTCAAATGAAACTCTCTTTGTTTTAAATGTCATTTTTATTTTTGAAAGTACATAAGTAAATATAAAACACTGTAGAATAACCCCATTCCCAAAGCCCTTCCTCGAAGTTCCCACTGTTAACAATTTGATGTGTTAAATGTATTTCCAGTAATGCTTCAAACTTGTTTTTTTCTGGTTATAATTACAGAAAATTTTGAGATTAGAAAGAGAAATCACCCACCATTCAAAAGCAGTTTGTTACAGTTTTTGCCCTTTTTTTCTATTGATACTTTCATAAAATTATACTGTATATAATTTTGGTCACTTTCCCTCATTAAACCACCTTATCATTTATCATTTATAATAGCTGCATAATAGTCTATCATGTGAATATATAATTTGTTTATTTATTCCTCTATGGATGGTTTCTGATTTTTCACTCCTAAATAATGCAGTAACCTACCCTACATTGTATGTTTATATGTTAATTTATTCCATGGAGTGCTTTTAAGATAACAGTAAAATGACAAATGCAATGTATGTTTTTATACAAACGTTTAAATGCAGAAAGCACAAATAAAATTAATATCGCTTGTAATTCCACCACACCTTAATATTAACATTTTGGGTTATTTCCTTTTTGTCCTTTTTATATTGTACATAAATATTACTAGTTTTGTGGTTTGGTGTTTTTGTTTTCAACTTTTATGCAAAATTGCTGTTTTATACTTTGTTGGATTTGTGTTTTACTTAACATGATAAAAACTCATTTAAGTAAACATTCTTTAGTGACTTAATATTCTGTCAAAATATTGTACCATAATTTTTTTAAGCACACCCATCTTGCTAATCTTTTAAGCTGCTTTGTTTTTTCACTGATAAAACAGTGCAGCATACACTTTTAATGTCCTAAGGAGTTGGTACAGAGTTGAATGAGGAAAGAGGTTATTGAATTTGGCATGTTAGGTACTATATCCTATGTGTTCTCCGATTTGCGGAAACTAGGCGTCTGCCAGCTACAAGTCTTAAAAGTTATGTAAATAAGAATGGATCATCGTGACCTGGGTGTGTCCCTTTTGCAGAGGCTTGAGGGCTCACATGGTTAGAGAGGGGGCTGGGAGACTTTCCTGCTGGTGTGTAAAGCTGCTGGGAGTTGGGTAATTGGAGATCTGAGCGGGTAAGGCTTCTGATGTGGACTGACTATAAGTACTGAGAATCAGGGCACATTGTCTGAAAGGAGGTCACATGTTTAGGACTGTCCAGGAAATCTGGGGATTTGATAGGGTGATAGTAGCATAGCTGCTTCTCATCTGATAATGAATGTTTATGCTAACTCAGAGTACTAGTGCCAAGTGTTAAATTGACATGAATATTTGGACTTGGGATTGTTTAAGAAAATCTAGGGTAGATATCACTCTTGTTCAAGACTGACTTAGGGTTCTTTGCCCTTGTCTGAGGTGCATGCTGAGTCTAGAGGTGGGATAAGACTTGGGAGGGTTCTCAACTCAAAAGGACCGTCACCACACTGGTAACCAACCCCAGTGTCTCCTCCTGAGCCCTACCTTCTTTGAGCAGTCTTGGAATTGAACTTCACAGGTGGTTCAGTAGTAAACATCTGGGGAGAAGTAGAAAAACTCAGTCTCTTTTTAAACCACTCAACATTCTTAAAGATAGGAATTGTCAGTAACACTATATTCAATAAGAAGAGTTCCCCCTGGTCTTTGACGTAAGTGGCAGGCCTTTTCATCATTTCTAAAGGTCAGTTTCTTGGAGACTGCATCTTTTCAAGACCATAGTCATTTCAAATTATAAAAGAAATAACCTAACAACAAACCTTTAAACATATAAGGCAAGCAAGGAGAGATGCAAGAAGTAGTAAGCCCCTTGGATCAAAAGATTTCATTTACTTTTCTTTTTGTATCGAGTGTAGTTACTTAACATAAATCTAATTGGTTCCAAAGTAGTAATAATAGTAATAGCTGATATTTAATTTGAGCACTGACTGTGTGCTGGTATTTGACACTATTATCTCATTTACTTCTCCCAGCAGTCTTGAAAGAAGTACAGACCAGGGGCCTGATTGCCCAAGGTTCTAGAACTTGCTAAGTCAAAGTGGGGATTCACCCCAAGTCTGAAACTAGAGCTTCAGCACTTAATGGGTTCGCTTTACTCACCTCTCACCTCATTCATTATGCTTAAGGCTTTTTCTCAGATGACTTTCGAAGATCACTATTCTTCATGCCAGCACTGTTGGGAGATGAATATCTTAAGTGGTCTGGTCCATGTTTGACCTTTGAAAGGGAAAAGCATATAGTCAAAATGTAATTTAATGGAATTGGGGTGATCATAGTTTAAATTTTCCCCCTTTCATCTAGGAGGTTTCTATGGACTGAGGCAGAATTTTAAAATAAGACACAGACAACTGTTAATCTTCATTGAGAGAGTTTAATATGTGTACATGGCTAACACTGGTTGTGTACACTTGATCTGTTGTTCCTGAGGTCACCAAAGCATATTGTGATTATTACAGAGATTGAAGCTCTTCTGACTGTTAACTTTCAGGTAAAAGAACATGAAAGACAAAACTAGATTTGTGTATTTCAGTAATTTGCTCTTTAATTTTTACCCCACTCTTAGTTTCAGGGGACCTCCAAGAAGGGTATCAGTCGACTGGATAAACAAATGAGAAAGTTCACAGATATCAGGAAAAAAAGCAGATCTGCACACGCAGTGAAAATCAGCATCGAGGGCAATAAAATGCCATTGTGACCTTGCCTGGGATGTGTCCCCATCTCTAAGAAATGCGCAATGGACTCTTTGGAGAAAGAAGATGATATTTTAAAAAATTTTTTAGTGTATCTGTAAATGGTTCTGCTTATATCAGATGTTGTCATAGGATTCGCATTTCTCTCACTTGTATTTAAAACTGTTTGTTGTGTACTTTGTACAGAAGAATACTAGTCATACTTCTATAAACTTTACACAATAAAGTTTCATTCTGGTTTTGGGGGGCTGTCTCTTCATTGTCTTAGAGGATGTCTTCTCAGTGGGGGTGAAAATTGGTTCTTGGTGAAGGGGAAAAAAATCTTAGATATTACAGTGGTTTGTGACCCTTCCATCTTCCATGTTCAGCCTTCCTGACTGGTATAATAAGGGATTTGGTCTCTGTTTTGGGTTCCTGACAAGGAGCTTCTAAAACCCTTGGCATTTCCTGGGTGATAAGGTTTTTGTGATGCTAATGAGGTGACTCTTGGTAGGCCCCTAGACAACTTTGGAATGGGGGCTGTCACCAGAAAGATCTACCAGGTAATTCAAGGGTTGGGATTTTGGGCAGGCCTGACGAGTTGGAGTGAGGGGATTGAGTTCAGTCATGTGCCCAATGATGTAATTGGTCGTACCTGAATAGTGAAACCCCAGTTAAAAACTCTGGACACTCAAGCTCACTGGGGCTTCCAGATTGGTGAGCACAGTGATAAGCTGAGATGATGATGTGCCTTCATTCCACAAAGAGAGGGTATGGAAGCTCTCTTTCCTCCCAGAACTCACCCCGTGTCTCTTCCTGGTCCTCCTACTTTGAGTCCTTTGTAATAAAACTAATCATAAACATAGTGCTTTCCTGAGTTCTGTCAGTCATTTTAGCAAATTCTTGAACCTAAGGGGATCATGGGAGCCCCCAGATTTTGTAACCAGTCAGTCAGAAGTGGTCATGGACCCACTTGCAGCTGGCATCCAAAATGGGAACAGTCTTTTGGAGGACTGAGCCCTTAAACCTGTTGAGTCCAGTGCTAACTCCAGGTGGTTAGTGTCAGAATTGAATTGCAGTATTCTAGTTGGGGTTGAAATGAAATAATGACAAAATCTTAATTCTTAACTATTTCTCTTGTTAGGGAAAGTTTAATTACTTGATTTTAATTAAATTACATTGATGTTTTCTCATGGGAAGTGTGCTATAATGGAAAAAAAAAAAGGTTGTGAAATACTGCCTTAGAGGAAATGTGGATGTAACTGAAAATCACTGTACCAGTTACTGATAGCAGTTGGGCAGTTGGGTTAGAGATAATTATATTTATGGCTATACTGTTCTATTTTTGTGATACTTTAAACTTACCTTAATAGTCTCTGCAGATTTAATTATGAAAAATCTCCAGTTAGTCAAAATGACTAAATCCAAGAACCAGTAATTCATTTTAATTATAGAAATTCTACTCCAATACAAATTGGAATAGGGTTTTTGACAACCTTGATTTTCAAAAAAACGTGAAAATCATACTTGCCATAAAAGCCTTTGAACATTTACTTTCTTTTTAAAAAAGATTTTATTTATTATTTGAGAGAGAGCATGAGGTGGGGGGAGCAGAGGGGAGAGGGAGAAGCAGACTCACTGCTGAGCCGGGGCTGGGGTGGGGGTGGGGGTGGCGAGCTACATGATCCTGGGACTCCGGGATCATGACCTGAGCCACCCAGGTGCCCCTGCATTTACTTTTTTTTTTTTTTTAAAGATTTTATTTGACAGAGACACAGCGAGAGAGGAAACACAAGCAGAAGGGGTGGGAGAGGGAGAAGCAGGCTTCCCGTGGAGCAGGGAGCCCAATGCGGGGCTCGATCCCAGGACCTAGGGATCATGACCCGAGCCGAAGGCAGATGCTTAACGACTGAGCCACCCAGGCGCCCCTACTTACAAGATTAAAAAAAAAACATTCTTGCTGCTTTGGGGCACCTGGGTGGCACAGTTGGTTAAGTCGGCCCTTGGTTTTGGCTCAGGTCATGATCTCAGGGTTGTGAGATCAAGCCCATGTCAGGCTCTGTGCTCAGTGCAGAGTGTGCCTGAGACTCTCTCTCCCTCTGCCACTTTTCTCTTTCTCTAAAATCTTAAATAAAAACATTCTTGCTGCTTTAAAGCAGGATTTGAAGGAGCACCCAGTGAAAACACCACTCACTCTGAGATGAGGGTTTGGGTCTGTGCTTCCCAGGACTAGCTCAGTTCTTACAAAACCTGGGGCCCTGGACCTGTAGGTTCTTTCCATGGTGGAGCTGCAGTTATGGATGCACCAAGGGAGGTTCAAAGGCATCAGGCCCTAAGACAACTAGTTATTCCTTGGGTTTATTTGACTAGAGAGCAATGGGTGAGGCTTTAAATAAAATACTTTGTAAATGTTTTATGATGATGACATGTTAAAAACACAGTGGATTGAAAGTAAAGAGACAGAGTTTGGTCTCCCAACATGTGAGGATCTCTGTGGGTGAGGGAAATCAGTGCTCATGGTTTGAGAGTCGGGAGAGAAGAGGAGAGAGTTTATGCTTTCCTGCCTTTTGAGTTTGGCGAATGAGTGATTTCTTTGTAATTCTTTTTTTTTTTTTTTTTTTTTTATGTGTTTTGAGAAAGAAGTTACTCTTTTGGCTAGAGATAGTACAGAAATAGAGTTCCCCAGACCAGTTATATGTGAGACCGACAGAGGTCAGTAAACACTGGTCTTTTGAGGAACTTATCTGGTAGGTTGACCAGTGTAGTTATGGACAGCTGTTCCAAGCTGGTCTCTTCTGAAACCCATGTCGGGAGGAAGTAGGACCAAATCAAAGAGGCTGTGGGCTCCCAGGATAGTCACCATTCAGTTTGTTGAGCTGACCTAACATATATATGGCACTTCACATTTTGACATTGATTATACTTAATTCTATGAGATGTTATTGTCTCTGTCTTACAGATGAAGGTAATGATGCACAGAGATCAAGATGCCACCCAGCTGGTGAGTGGCAGAGCCAGAATCAGGTCTCCTGATTTCTGATCCCTGGCCACCTTTTCAGCTGGATTTTTTCCACATGAAGTATGTGATAGTTCTTATTGTTCAGACTTTTAGTTCTTGGCTTATATTTTCTGGCCATTCCTAAGTGTTGCTATTCTGTTTTTATTGAGGAAGTCAGAGAAAAAATGAGGTGGAAAAAACCATTCAGGGGTTTCCTAAGAAATAGTGTTGTTCAGTATGATACTTAAAAAGGAATCAAATTTGGTAGACTTTCAGCATAATCATGTTATCCTTAGAGCAGAATTCAGAATGAAATTGATCTCTTATCAACCAACTTTCTTTTTAAAAAATTTTAAAGCAAAACAGCAAAACCTTGTAAGTTGATCCCATAGCCTAGATGGTATTATAAGGACCATCCTGTGCATGTCTCTGCTGAAAGGGAGAGGAACCACAGCTGGGCCTCATACTTTCATGGTGTCCAGTTAATCACCCTATTTAGGTTTCACAAGAAGCCACCATTTATCTTTCCATAAGTGAGAAAAATGTGTTCAAAGTGAAATGACTGCCCAAAGTCACACGGTAAGTAGCAAACCACCCATGGATCCGGAGTCCATTCTTTCTGCCTCCAAAGCTTTCAGTTATGCTGCGGTGTTTTCTGGGTGAAATACCAGGATTTAAATAGATGCTTTAGAGTTTTTTTTATTGATCCATAGTTGTTCTTGGACCTTGTTTAAACTTGTACCATCTGAAGTTAACACCTGTGTCCATTCTTTTCCAGGTTTTGCTGTTATCACTCAAGATACCATACCTTGAATAATACATGGAAGACCTCAGGACACTGATAAGGCTAATATCCTAATGAAGGGCCTCAGAGGGTCATGGCTGGGGAAGGGCTGGGATTCAGCCATACTGCTAAATAGTTTGATGATAACCTTCTTCAGATGTTACAGTCATTGATGTTTGTTAGGGCTGAGGATCCTGGGGAAAAGTCTTGAATTCTCTCCACTATTGGGTTTGATTATTGATAGGATGCATAGGCTGACATGGCCCAGGCAGAGACCCACCTGCAGAGATTGTGGGAACCCCAAGAGAAAATTCCCTGTAAGAGAAGGACCAGTCTGACAGGGCAAGCCCTTCTTCTCAAGAGGATAGAATGTTGGAGTCAAATTGACAGTCCCAGTATGTCCTGAGCCTGTAGGTGTGAACTGAAAGCTGTGTTGATAGATGCTATAACACGAGTTCAAAACGTTCTGCTGTGGAACAGCCCTGGTCATCCGTATGCAGAAGGAACACTCTAACCTCATAGCCCTGTGGAGTCCTGGAATGGCAGCTCCTCTGGCCAACCAATTTAGGGCATGGTGACAAGAGTGGTCCCCCCCTCTTGGGGTGTATCTGTGGAATAATCAAGCCCGAAGCTGCAAAAGCTTGACCTGAGCGGCCATAGCAACCCATTTAGGATCAGGTGCACCCTTAGGATTCCTAGAACATTTGAGGAGGAAGGATTTTCCTTGAGGTAGGACTCCCTACATTTGCACAGATGAGCACTCAAAGCCATTGAGATTCAGATATTAATATGAAACAACTTCATTTGCACTCATGGCTGATTAAGGCTTGGAAAGTTTTCCTTTCTGCTGCAGGATTTTTGAGACACCCAAGAAAGTAACCAACTACTATAGCTTGTATCATCATTAAGGACTGGTTGAACCCCACGCGGCCCATGGTCTGTACTCCACAACTCCCATAGCCACTCTGGTCTCATGTCATGCCACTCTTCCCTTCGCTCACTCCACTCAGGCTCCCACTGGCCGTGTGCACCCAGCTGTTCTCAGTCTGAATCACATTTTCCTGCTCTGTCTCCTCAAATATCCACCAACCTTGCTCTCACTTCGTTTGGTCTCTGTTCAAATGTCACCTTTGGTGACACATTGCCTCTTTCTTATGTGAGAAAGCAACACCTGCCCCTCACTTTATTTTTCCCTGAAGCACTTTGCACCATCTAACTTACTATATATTTACTGTTATTGAGCATACCTTCCTCATTAGAGTGGGAGCTCCATGAGGGCAGGAACTCCATCTGTTTTATTTATTGATGTATCCCCAGCAACCAGAACAATGTCACATAGTACATACTCTGTAAACTTGGTTTGTGAATGGCCCCTACTACCTCCTTTCTTCATTCATTAATCAATTTATTCAACAAACACGGAGCCCTATAGGAGCTGGATATGCTGGATAACAGAGGACCAAAGATGAACAAGCTAGCTTCTGTCCTTAATTAGGTCACAATGTGAGGAGGGACACAGAAAAGCAAACTTAACTAGAAATGCATTGTAGTGGGTTTATTAGGGGTGCAACTGGAGAGGATCAAGAAAAACTTCATGAAGGAGGCATGTTGAGTTGACTGCTGAGGGCGAGGATGATGGTGAACATTTATTGAGTGCTTACTGTGTGCCATCTCTCCCCTAAGCAATGAATATAGTATCATTTAAGGCTGTTAACAGTTTTATGACATAAATGCTGATATTACCTTTATCTTAGGGATGCAGAAAGAGGCTCAGAAAGGACCAAGGTCACAGAGCTAGTACTTGGACCTGAGGTTCAAACTTGGCTTTTTCTGGTTCCAGATCTCAAGCTTTAACTATGTGCTGGGCAGACAAGTGGGGAAGACATTGTGAACAGAAGAAACACTATATCCCAAGGATTGAAACTCTACCATGTGTACTCAGGTTCCAGGAAGTGTGAAAAGAGATGAGGTAAGAGTATATGACACTTAGAAGGTGGCCTTAGAGGACACAGGTGTCCATACTGATTCCTTTCTCTTTCCTCCTTCCAGAGTAGCTTGCTTTTGCTACTATATTGGGCTTCTGAAT